TTGGTTGAATGTTAGTTACACCATATCATAAATAAGGTAATCCAAATAAATTGTGGCAGGATATATATGGGGCCATTTGTCTGTCTGGTTTAGAGTGAAAGAATTTAATACAGCCAGTATTGGTAAAAGGAGCTGGAAAAGTAACAATTAATGATACGATACTTACATATGAGGTTTTGATGTATAATCCATCCTCTGTGATTTCCCTTGCTAATCCAAAGTCTCCGACTTTTGCCACCATGTTTGGACCGATTAAAACATTTCTCGCGGCAAGGTCGCGGTGAATGCACTAAAAAAAAAGTTGCCTTATCGATTCTCTATCGTGCAAATATTATCGGAAAGCAAATAACTGAGTTAAACTATCATCAAGAGCTTCGTTAGGAAAAGATCTGGCTAACCTTCTGCTCTTCTAAATGGTTCATTCCGAGGGCCACCTGTAGAGCAATTTTGAGCAGCTGTCTGTCATTCAGCTTACAGTGCACATTCGCATATTCGTTACTTCCGTCACCCTTGCACCTCAAAAAGCTTTCAAGGCTACCACCATGGACCAATTCGGTGACGACAAGAATTGTCTCTGAGGAAAGAAAAGTTGGCTATCAGGAGCAAATTTGCTGCTGCAAATTGATGGGAACTCGACGACGTGAGAAAGTAGCCTCAAACCAACTACCAGCATGCACGTTAGGGAGTACTGCGGGTTGGCCGCAACAGTTTTGCAAATATAACCAGGATATCCTTTTGAACGTTCGCCTCCTCGATAATTTTCACAGGGACGAACATCTCCATGGAGATGTTCGTCTTTAGAATCTCTGCGAGATCGAGTTTTCTTGCACACTTATTACCACCATTACTTTCCATGAAGAAACACATATTTTTTTCGTAGATTAGTAAGAATGTTATTTGGATAGTTGGAATAAACCTCACCTCCTTGAACCCATGTTCCAATTAGGTTGACAATGTTGGGATGTCGTCCAGCCTGTTTCAACGTTCTTATCTCATTCAGTAACGCGGCTTTCGCAAGTGTGCATGCATTACCTAAAATAAAATGATAGACAAATGTGATAATTATTCATAAGTTGGTCACGTTGTGTTGTACGTAGAATGCAAAGAAAACGAAGAATACCGAGAATACTCTGCCAATCTAAACACCTTGCTACAGATATTACGTTAAATAATTCAGATTGTAATTGGGTAACATCCAATTGTCCAAAAAGTACGTATAATTGCATTATAATCGTTATCCGCCCACACTGCCGAGAAAATAATAACTGAGAAAATAATTAAGCCAATAGGATAAGACCCTTATGCATACCTTTCAACTTCTTTACTGCAACATCAGTAGTGCTGCCATTCCTTTCACCATAGCGACCTTTGTAAACGATTCCATATTCTCCTTCACCTAGTACTTCATCGAGTACTTCGAGAGTACCTCGGTCTTTTTCGCTCTCCTCTATCTCAATGAAGAGAGATGTTTGTATTTCGTCGCTATCTTTGTCACTTTCCATCCCACTGTCTTGATACGAAATAATGTTGACATCACAGTGACTACAGCCTTCTTCGGCACTTTGGTGACCATTTCGTGAGTTAAACAACTCTTCTGCATAGCCTTTTTGATCAAAGATGGAATTTGGGAAATGTTTATCTCCGACATCTAGTGGAGTCGGAGTCCTTTCCTCGGACGATACTCTCGGTATCGATTCAACTCTCCAGTCGTCATGCGTATGCTTTTTCTTGTTTAGCTGCATATTGTTATTTTCAACAACTAACGACGAAGTGACA